GGGCTGCCTTATAGAAACGGAGATAGCTGAACTCATAGGCTTATGACAGTGTATACACCGATAAGCTCTATTATTTCCAACACTGCAAGGACATAAACACTGTGATGCGTCATTAGAACATAGGGATATCCGGTCACCTTTTAAGCGGGATTATACCTGTTAGTTTGTTACTCTAAATTGCAGTGTATTGTACAGTATATTACCAGGATCTGTACCTTGCATACAGTCTAATCGCTGGTAACCTGCAGCACAGGAGCACCCATAAGGGTCTGGTAGACAGAACAAACGCCCCCGGCAAGCGTCGTTGTGTGGATCATTGCTGTTGGAACATCGCCGATTGGCAGCTGTACCAAACACATGACGACCGTGAACTGAAAATAGTGCCCAAAATCGAATTATAACTTGCAAAACAACCATGTGCCGAAATTATACAGGTGTTATTCGGTATTATTATACATTTGCAGGAGAAATTATTTATTTCATGATTCACGATTTACATGAATCGTATATGTAATGTGAAAAATCAAACTTGTTTCATTCGCAAATTTGCTCTCCTCATCCAATAAATGCAAGCATAACCAACATATAATTGATCCGCATGTGTAAGGACCCTTGTAATTGTAACAAAATGCTACCTATTGACGCCAGTCTAAAGCTTCCAAGCCTCCTGTCAAGCGTCTTTTAATTCGGACTCTCATCTGTTTACCTTGCTCGCAACTGTCTCCACTGAACCCTGGAGCACACACACAGGTACCAGACTTGTCATCACATACACCGCCATTGTAGCATCGACGACAGGTTTTCAGACACGAGGGAGGATCCCAAAGTCTAAAAGGACAAGCTGTTTTGGGTGCAGGAATAACATGAAAAAATTTGAATATGCCTGTTGTGACTTCTGTGTAAATAATTTTAAAATATTTAGTTGTTGAAATGATGTTGCATTTTTAACAGTTGGCTGCGTTTCGATGGCAAATTGTGCGTCATTGTGAAAACAGTTTTGAACCCAGTTTGGTGATATCAATGGTATGAGCGAAAAAATGTCTGGCAACGAACCTCTCACTATGAGCCTCATGTTACCATGGAGAAGCATGGCCTCATGGTCTTCAACAAAGCTGCTGTAAATTCCTTCGTCACTTTTTGTTACATTAGAGAGTGATAGATTCAGACGGTCGTTCCAAGATTCCATGACGTCACCTCCATTGTGCCGCCATCTGTAGTGGTTGTTTGGTGAGCTGACATTGTGCATTTGCAGCATTACTGAGTCTCCTGTACTTGCTGTCAGTGTGCGCTGAGCCGGACGTATGTGCACATTACTCTCTTTGTGTGAAATCGGGGATGGTAAAGTAGACACTTTTAGTAAAAAAAACTTGCAGTATGTAGAAAATTAACCGAACTGAGCAAAGTACCACCTCTCGGCAAATGTTCACCTTTTTGAATGAATCAAAAGAGACTAAATGAGATTTATTTTTACAGTCTGAAGGGATACATTTATTGCCAGCAATCCTGAAGTCAAATGCAATGGTGGAATTTCGTGTTGAGCTCATAGACGTGTGAGTCTAGTCTGCTTTATTTATTCAAGAAAGAACATGTGATTTGAGTAACTAAAAGAAGACTTTAAATGATCAACCAAATTGGTAGAAAGTGGCAGTATCACGATGCCTGAAGATTTGTTTTACCATCGTTTTGTAAAATAATGCTCTGTATCCTGGTTTTCATGTCATCCTTGGTCGCCTCTGTGTAAAAGACACCCGTCCTGTCCAGTCCTCCTTCCTCTGGCAATTGAAGCAATCTCACGGTACATCCCAACGATGGATCCACTATCTCGCCTGAACCTGATGGAAGTCCGGATACACCTCCAGTTGTGACTTGGCGACCGAATGAAACCTTGGATGCGATATCGTCAGGTTCTCTGTACACTGCGATGACTGAATCATTGTCTCCAGTTGGACCAAGGAGAGCAGGGTTGATAACCAAGGCTAAATTGAGACTTTGTACTGTAAACCAAAATATTGAGCCTTTCATTTGGTGAACAACTCAGATCGTAGGTGTTTGACTTAATACGGAGTGATCAAAGTTTCATTTTTCAAACCATCAGTTTTGATTTTCCACCCATTAGGGCAAAATGCTTTTAAACAGCAGCGTACTTTCAACCAACCAGATTGAAAAGTAAGTTTGTCCTCTGTAAAAATAACTGTGAACAGTTAATAATATTTTATTACACCCTGAAAATCCGAAAAAGTTACTGAACGGAACTTGATTCCAGTGTCATTCAATAAATCCCAAGACTGTTTTTTTTTTCATGAATCAAATATTTTTAAATACTGAAATGAAATACAACATCTAACAGCCAACCTGGATGTTGGAAATCACACGCAGCTACCGACACTTCGCACAGTCCAAGGCTCGCCATTAGGGGTATATCGACGCTGACATAGCGGGCAAATACAGGCGGATCACAGGTAAAATCCACGTGAAGGTTGGATGGAGCGGGGCTTTTTCCACACACCGCATTACTGGTGTGATTATAGCTTAGACCTGCACGTACAAACGCTTGCTGAAAATTCGACCCTACATTGTACAAAATGAATTTGGAAATCTATATTTTTATGATCATATCATACAGTTAGTTTGCAGTTTCGACGTAGTGGCAGGTAAATCTGCCACATTAATAACTCCAAAGTAGTCGACTCGCACCACAAACGGTAATAATATATGAAGCATATCAAAACCCCTTAAGTAACCAAACAAACTGAGGTATGCATCTGGAATGACGAAATATGCTTTTATTTTTAACAGCAGTATGGATGTTGCAGCTGGCTTTCAGTAATAAACGTATTCTAGTCATAAAAAGCCAGTTCATACTTTGGGCGAACGCGAACGCCAAGCAGTTGAACGTCACAAAACATCATAATAAAGCAATGTTTGCTCAAACAAGATGAAACGAGTGAGGTTTTAAAACATACAAGCAAACACATTTTCCTTTCTCCAAAGATCAACTTTCAAACACTATGGTTTAACTTTCAAATTTATTGATTCAAATTTCAATCTTCAAATGTCGTGGCTTAGACCGTACTAGGGCCAGTCTGTTGGCATCCTTCCGTATCCTTACCACGCTACTCCCAACCTTCTCTGCCAAAACACCAGGAATTATCCTACTTTGCCAAAGGAAAAAAAAAACACGAAATACTTTCTACAACGAGCCCCACACGGCTTTAGTTAACAACAAAAAATATTATTTTGCCCAAACTCCAATTTCCAGGCCGTTTCTGTTCGTGATTTGAGATCTTGAGTCCGTCGTCTCAACACTACAATTCTTTTAATGCACCAATGATAACCGATTCCTTAACTGGCGCAGCGCTACTATACCCAGCAAGAAATGAGACCGAGGGGTACCCCTAACCCCAACATGTCCAATCCCTATACACATTCCAGACTTTTGTTACTTAACACACCCCCCCCCCAGATGTCTGAAAGGAATTCCCCAGATTCCTGCGAGACAATGGCCAGCATAAAGCAGGGGGGGGGGGTTCTCTCCGTCTCGTACCTTGCTGCATTTGAGCGCTACACACGATCAGATTTAGTCTGGTTCTCCGACCCAAACCAGCGGAATCCAACCAACCTCTTTAAATTCAAATGTCCAGTATTACCAACTATTACGTGACTAAAATAGAGAAATTCCTTCCTTCTCCCGAAAATAAACAATAATATTCCGAACTTATTGTCGTCAACATGCGGATAGTATCGTTGATTCACTGTCCACCCTGTAAGTGCCCTGAACAGCGGGTTTTATACCGTATGTAGTCATAATGGACGTCTTGTTACGTTCTGATAAAAAATGATCTGCTAACTGTGACGCATTCAGGCCTCAAAGCAAGTGCACAATATACCCCACAGCGTGCACTGTGCGGTGAGCAATGCGTACACAGGTGTTGCAGTGTGGGGCAACATGCCCCTGAACCATAAATATACAGCTAAGTTGCACCTTAGACATTTTCCCCCATACTTTTCCGATATTCCGAACTAATTCCAGGTACGCATCGTAACGACGAATTCGACCCACTTTGGCCAAAAACCTGCAGCAAGTGTTACCCGACATATCACTGGCTGAAAACCTGTGCCCGTGGATGGTACAGCTTAGTCAAATTTATCGTTGCCTGATTGACATAGTTAGAGACAAACGCTGCACACTGAACCAATGTGCCAAGAAATGCTTTACATCCAAGACAGACATTACAAAATTAACGGCTGTGGATTGTGGAATTCACGAGTTACCGCTTGAGTCGAGGCTCTCCTGTCCTAGTTTTGTATTCAAAGAAATGTGCACGGTTACTTTGTCATCCGTCACCAACAACGCCTACATCTAAAAATGTATCGTTTGGGCTATTCAGTTTGGGGAAGGTGGGTGTTAGGGTATTTTACTGTTTTCGTTCCATTGTGTATTGTGTTAAGTACAATTCAAAAATAAAATAAATGCAATGAAATAGCTTTGGACGCCATTTTTTTTTATATCTAACATATGACTTCCGTCAGACGTGGGTTTCCCTTGTTACCCTGGTCTGTTGTGTCTTGGACTACTTTTTCAACCGCCGGCGATATTCGATCTAAGATTTATCAAGAGTTTGAGGAAACGTCGGGTCAGGGAACCACACAAAGTCTGGATCTTTTTGGTAAGCAAACAATACCAACATTAAATAGTAGGTTCCCAGGATGCAGTGTTTAAAAAGAACGTTAAATTAAACAATAGCTAATCAATACACATACCCTCCTCGGGATCGAGTGTAAAATCAGTGCTTCACGCATGGACATGCACCACGGAAGTCGAACTAAGAAATCGACTGACCGGCTGGCATTTTACCACGATAAATATAAAGGCCTTTTTTGCCATTGTAAAAAAGGCTCCCATTTTTCCCAACTCCTCCATCCTTAGTGAAGACGGAGGTATGTGTCAACATAAACAGCTATTAAAAAAATATATAATATGGTGACCATAGGTTCTTACAAGCCATACATGACTAACAACGAAACAGTGAAATTAATTATTCAGTTAATTCACGTTCCCCACATGAAAGCACGTTTAGTTGCAACTCGGCATGAGGTTGATCTCGGGTAGTCTTCCCTCCAGTGGGTACATAGAGGGTACCGGACCTTGCCTGGTTAAGTGTACCTCAAATAACTATTCAAAACTTCAAAATAACCTGAGGTATGACGGCCATCTAAAGCGAAATAAAATAACCAAAAACCCTTGCAAGTTGCATGCCACATTAAGAACATATTGAACATTCTCCTTGTTTCTTCAACAAAAGATAAATTTTCTCGGTTGTTATTCGTTTTCTTACTAGTATCCTCTTAATTTCCATGTCAGTTTGCAAACAGGTTTTGATACTTTCGCTCTTAAAAAACACTTAGGCCCCTATACAACATTCTATCGTAAGTTCTAATAATGCGCCACTTTTAGAAATCGAACTTATAAGGGTATGTACAACGTGATTTGTGTGGTTCTTTGCGGAGGTTTGTCTGGGTGGAATGTTGCAAATATCACAAACAAACCGGACCACCTGGCTCTGATTCAACCCAATCTTGTCCCAATCTCACCGGTTGACTGCTATCATCAACTACCGTTAGCGGCGATCTCAGGCAAATTTGGAACTGGTAAACTCAACACCAAACACACAAATAATTCTAAAACTTTTGAACTCACACACTCTCAACCCACGGTATTTCCCAATTAATTTACAAACGAACACAAACAAAAGATTTACTGAACCTAACAAACAATGGTACATTAGTATAAATTTATAAAATATGCCCACAACTTTAATTTGTACGTGGTTACGCGCACGTGCTGTATACATTACTGCGTAGCTGGGCGTGAACTAAGCGGCCGCACTGCATGAGAAACATGCCTCTTCTTTTCTGACTGTAGTAGCAACATGATTAACCTCAAATCAAGCAGTTCAAGTGAATTCAGAAGGCTCAACACTGCAAAAACCATACACAAATATCCAGTCCTCTAAATACTGCTCTAATATGATTTTCATACATGCAATATCTATATACACGTAGTCTGTCAACACAGTCAACACATTGCCAAATCTCGATGCAAAAACTTTGACCCATGGATTTACATGACGTCCGTTGCCATCTTAAAAACCTTAAGCTCCATGTAAACTTTGAAATGTCGCCCTTAATTGACACGATCTTTGCAAAATTACAGCTCAATGGCCATTTCTACGAAAAGTGGCCTTGAAACTCAGCGAATTGTTTAGTTTCAGTTTCTTGAGATGGGCATATCACTGCCCCCTATGGGGCAGCGCGGATGTCCTGGAGTTTCACAAACATACGGGTAGCAACCACACAGCGGCCGGTGAAAACAAATGCAACGAGAGCACTCGTACGTACAGATCAAAGAAAAGATTGTATAACCCGATCCTCGGACTGACTAGTGCGTGTGTATGTCGCCAAGTTTGCCTTTTTCCCCGGCGCAGTACCTGTCATTTTGCGAGAATCCCGGATGTCCGCGATGCCCCAGAGTGGAATTTTCAAAGGCAGTATATAGAACTGGGTTTTGTCAACATTTCTGGCAAAGTTCGGACAAATAACACTTCATGAGTTGGTCTTTTATGCAGGCTATTTGCAATTGACTGCGTGTTGACGTATACAAAAATATAAAATTATGAAAATTTTAAGTTCTGTACAAATTATATGGCCGTAGACTTACTTAATCACCTTACCAACTGACAGCGCGTCTTGCAATCACCGTGAAACGCACTGCCCGGGAAATTACGGAGGACACTGGGCTCGTAGAGCGGGAAAATAAATAGTATTTTATTTGTCCCTTGGCCACCGATGCGGCAACCAAAACATTTCGCATAGAGAAGACCCATAGAAACAAGTGATGTGGTACAGAAAACCGTTGTGACAGTATGAATGGATCGATGACTGGCTTCACAGGTACCTTTGTATCTGACAGGGTCAGATTTGGTCTATAATGTCGTCTCCGGACATTACAATCCTCAAACTAAATCAAACGAATATTCAAGTGCCGATTTCAGCAGCGATGAAACCAGCAAATCAACGCGGACGTCATGCGTTTTTTTTAGCATAGACTGTCACATGAATGTTGAAAGACACTACTTGTCTACAATACAATACATACATTACAATACATCTGTGCTGCCTCCTTTCTGTCAATGGGATATTGAGTCTTCCACAGAGTGCAAGTGAAAGTGCAACCATTGACAACTTGGCTACTTCCAAGGATAAGGTGTAACATCTGGAGGTAATTTCAAGTTCCGCAAGACTTCACATAGTCCGCATTGATTGATCTTTTCTCCTAGACCTTTTTTCAATACTTGGCCACCAATAACTAAGAAGGGATGATTTCATGCGAGATTCTAGGATGTGATTCATTTAGTTCTTTGATGATCTGTGGGCAGCCTTGTTGGGAGTGAAAACTCGTAAACCCACTAAATACAGCCATCCTGCATTTCTCTTACCAGGAAATATATGGGAATGAATGAACTGTCAGCCATGTGGCCAAACAAGCTCTAGAGTCAAATCTTGTTTAGACTTGCAGGGGCGGATTCCAAACGACCTGTGATCATGACACAGTCTGATGGAACAAGGGTACGGTTGATGGTGAACGGTAATAACAATTTCCTGAAGTACGCCTACATGTGTGCCATACAAAATATGGACACTGCTTTAAGTTTACCTGTGGTTGAGGTAACTCGGGAAAACTGTTTCCTTTTCTCCCACTAAGATAAAGCCTTCGAACTGAAATTTCGATGATGAGTTTCTGTACTGTTCCTCTTCATTTTGCCACAAATAACCCTGACCTATAGCCTTTTTCGGGGTGGGTTGGAGGTGTGTGGACATGTGCAAGTCCACACAACGCCATTACACCCTAAGTGGACTTCTTTTTTGCATTGGTCTATGCTATATTTTCCACGTCTACGCTTCAACACTGCCAAGCAGGTTTCCAGTTTGTACACTAAGTGGTAGTTAAAAGACAGTCACTTTGATTCCAACTCAGTTGTACACGTACAAGTGATATGTCGTCATTCCGCAGAGCACTGCCAGACTGCACAAGCACTCTGGCTGAGTGGTCCCAGAACTGATGACAAATTCGGCAGGAATCAACTTTGACAGTTGAAAACTCCCATTAAGGAATTCAACTCTATCATGTCATGTGGCACCGGTGCACCCCTGGGCGCTTTATAAACCTTCTATGTTTGAGAATACAAGCCTGCTGCATTAAAACGATGCCCCATACACACTCTTTTTCTTCATGCTGAAGACGAAGTCCTGAACTCTTAACTCGACTCCCAACCTTGTTAAAATCTGCACGTGTTTCCCAGTCACGAGTGCAGCGTCGATGAAGGCAACTGCACGAATGTCTAGCAAAAGACTTCCATTTGTCCATTGGAATGTTGCAGGTGCTGCAGATACATTGTGCCTAACAAAGGATCCGGTGTGTACCGAAACAGTCTTTTCGGTTAATTATAAAGAGTTCACTTGACTCCTCGCCGAGTTCAAGCTGGAGACAGGCATGACTGGGACCCTGCTTGCTGAACGTTTTCAAGCCTGACATGCTAACAGTTTCTTGATGCAAGTCAACAGGTAAGATTGGAGCTTATTGATAGTCACCTATGATTCGTAGTTCACCCAACTTTTTAATCACAGTTACTTTAGGGGATGCTCGGAAACTCAGTCTCACTTGAGTCCATCAAGTTCAACTTCCACCTTTGGTTACATGGCAAAGGGCACTGGTCTGGTTTTTGCATAATATTGGCTTCGTGTCTTTTATGCCTATGTGTACATGCTGTCCTTTACGTGTTTATAGAAACAACTCGTGCTGTCAAGTGATGCCAATATGGCAAAGCCGACTGGTGTGGTTCATCTGACGGATAATGTGCCATTCTTACAGTAGTAAGTAACCATTCCCAGACAATGAGATTTGGTCCCTTCGTGACATAATGAAAAGCCTCACTGAGCAACTGAGACAATTTTCTATCAAGTACAAATGCAATACGCAGTTCTGTGTCTGTGTTCTTGGACAGGATCGTTTTGTTGTTGTACCGACTTATTTTTTATTGAGGATGGATACCAAGGCAATATTGTTGATTGACATAGTCATTTACAGCCCAGACTTTGTCTCATGTACTTATCCACATCATAATTTTCATCAAATGTTGTCGTCTGTAACATTGGAGTGCTCCTCTCACCTTTGCCAAAATGGTTTTGTTTTTCACAATTATTACATTTGTATAAACAAGCTTGACATCTCTATTTGGAGAGCGGTCTGCTTGTGCTAGAAATAGAATTTGCTAGGTCAACTAGACTTCCCATGTGCGCAGGGAAGGCCCTTCAATTCCCTTATCCGGGAGCTTTACACTGCCAGTATTGTAGGAGAATGATGGGGCCTCCCGTTGCTTACATGTCGCTGGAAATCCTTGGCATTTTTTGGCTGCCAGGTCGATAGCTTGAACTATTTCAGAAGCCTTATCAAACTTAATTGAAGTGACAACAATCTACGAGCAACAATCTACGCTGAATCCCATCATCAGCACTGCACACCAAGTGAAACCGAAACGTGACTTAGAGACAAGGTGGCATTGTTCTCTAATATGTAAATTACAACCACGGTATACATAGACGACGTTTTGGTCAAGCCAGGACGTGTCAAAAAACTTGAATAATTGATTTGAAAACTTTAACCATAACGTTTTGCAAGTTCAACCAAGTCATTCTGAATGTTTAACCACGAAGTTTGAAAGTTTAACCACGACGGTTGAATATTAAACCATGAAGTTGAAAGTTTAACCATGCACAGCGTTTGGATGTTTGACTGCAACGTTTGCGAGTTGAACGACACGTTTGAAAGAACGACGTTTGCTTACCCGGTTTTGTAGATCACCACAAATATTCAACAGGGGCGAATACATATAACGACTATTTGATAATTACATCTTACTTCACTGTTTACTTTTGTGCCAAGAATGGACCGGTGTCCAAACTAAGTTGCAGAAACGAGCTGAAGTCAATGTGTGCACTGATTAAAACTAGAGTACTGACAGATTTTAACATATTCTTACCCTGTGAAAAAGGCCAGACTCGGATTTTCCCAACGCAGTAACTTCTTCCAAGATCCACTTTCCACCATGGGTTCATTTCCGATGCTGTTGAAAAGGGGAATATGCAAACGTATTTTTTAACCTGAAGTTATACACTGCTCCGTGTCTGATCTTTGTGAAATTTGGTGTGCATGTGAAAATTATCATTTTGAGAATACTCTGTGAAATTTCAATTCAATTTCGTCGTAGTCTTGTTTTCTTATGGTCAGGTAATTCATAGCTTCAAGTGTGTCATTTGAACACATCAGTTATAGAAGTTGACATTTTACTCGGAAATGTGGATGATTTTCATAACGTTGGTTACACATGATCGGGAGACATTAATGTTGAAAAAATCCAGAAATGAATTTCCACGTTACAGGAAAACGTTCCATGGATATAAATATAATTAGAAAGCTCTGTCGTTAAAAACATCTGCCATTTTCTTTTGAAAACAACATTATAACGGAGGAAGGGTGCTTAATTTTGTTCAGCGGGTTAGGGGTAATTATAATACCAAGACCCCGCGCATGCGGCTTTCCCATAGAGATCACCATTCGTGATTCGGACGTCGTTGAAGCTACCAGTAGTATATTTGCGGCTTTTTACCGTGCCGAAATGTTGTGAACATAATGCTATGGAAGACTGCTACGCTCTTTGATAACCTTCAATAATTTCAGGCAACACGGTCGATGACTGCCCGAGGGTTCCGGTAATGGTCCTAAGGAACAACCTCTGGCATAATTATGATGTTTGTGTCCCATGTAAGCACCGAGGAAAGCGTGAGTTTTCAGTCCTAAATTCAGCGAAGGCCAAGTATTTGCGTTCAGCAAGTGCTCGCACGGTCGCTTTATGCGCGTTCCTCTGGAACAATATTGTTTGTAGAACCAAATTCAACGAAAAAAGAAAAAGACGAAATCTTTTTTTTTTGTATGTTTTATAGATTTTTTAGACTATGCATTTTCTTTTACAGGAAGTAAAAATCGAGACGGATATGCTGCTCTGTGATGTTGCAGTGCGCAAACCATTCGAATATACTATAACTCCGCCGTCCTCACGTATGCCAGGAAGGACTGTCCTTTACATTGAGTGGTAGATGCTAACGATTACCTTTCATGTAGAAGGGTGTTTTTAGACATTCTTGACCCCCCCTAAAAAGATCAAGTTGACAGGGCATGAAGTGCACGAAGTAGAACATTATAGAAAGTCTCTCTTTATTTTGCCATACTGAAAGGTGGCCTGCATGAAAGAAATAATTCCAGTAATTATTGTGGGCCTACATTTTGTTACAGAAAAGTAAAATAAAATCCAGTAGGCAATTTCAAATTGATACAAAGCAAGCCAAAGAATATTCAATTCGAAAATTTGTTTACAAAGCACGAGGCCAGTACTGGGATAGAAACCTTTCTTTGATACAATGCCATCAGCTTTGTTAGTGCTAAAATCGACTATAAGCCTTGTCCAAGTACACAGCCTTTCTTCAGTTGGGCCATTCTTCAGAGAATTGTGAAAGTAGTGGGCCACAATTAACGCTTTCCTATGTGATAACATGGGACACAAACATCGTCTACTAGAGTTTGTTCCTACTAATCACTACCGTAACTCTTGGGCAGTAATCAAATGTGGTGCACTGAAATTATTGAATATTTTTTGACAAAAAAAAAGAGATAGTGGCAGTCTTCCATAGGTGAGCATTTTATTCACAAACTTTTGGGCACAGTAAAAAAGTCACCACTCTACTACTTGTGGCTTCAATGACGTCTATATCACGAATGATGATCTCTCTGAGTAGCAAGCATTCTCTGGGGTCTTGATATCCCCTTCTAGGAAAGAAAATTACGCAGAAAGGAAAAAAACATATTCGTGTTACCATTTCACCGCGCCGAGTTAAATCGTTCAATGTGTTACCGCTGCAAGTTATAAGATCTTGCCGCAGCTTCGAATTGATATCCCGCCACAGCGAAAATTTCAGTAGTTTCATGAGCCCTGTTCAACATACTGCTTTCAATTTATCATCAGGCTGAAGTGCAGTGAGATTTGGTTTTATATTGCTGATAGGAACAAAGGGGAATGTTACATTTCAACAAAACTTGTTTTCCAACACAACAGAAAACAAAACAAATCCTTTTGTGGTGTGAATTTCCACATTCTACGGAGATCTGGAAGTGCCTTTCTACTTGTCGAGAAAGTAGCAAATGTTTTCTCAGGATAACGACATATTACGGGCAATATGGCAACATCATGAGATGCTTTATCGCCGGTTGAAGTCATCCTAGAATGGAGATTACAGCATCCCGAGACAATTTACCATGGGATACTTATATCCTAAAAGTAATATGATAGCATTATTTGTCAATGGGTGCCAGCATGTAACAATGTCAACATCTTGCCTCTATTATGCCGTCATCCCGAGAATCTCAACAAGTCGGATGGCACATCCAGAGCCCAGTAATTCTCAGATGAGGAGTAGACTGTTTTTGATTCGTCACTACATTTCCCAAGTGCTAAATAAAAGCAAGCAGACTTCAAAGTTACAATTGAACTGTAATCAGTCGAAATATATCAATTTATAGTACCTAAAATGGAGATCAAAAACAGTACTTTTACCTACGCAACGCATGAAACACCTCACAGCTTTGGACATTCAAATCATTTTAGGTTACTTAGTTCGCTCATCTTCAAATATAGTATAAGTGCACACGTGTCATGGGCACCGGGCTGGAAGTGTCGACCGTGTTCAAATATTAGAACAAACTCCGTCCGATAAGTTTTCGACAAAAAAAGTTACGTTGTTCATTTGATTTTCCCGGCGCCCTACACTATATGGGTGATTTGCGACCAGTGATTGCATGCATGTGAGGTCAGAGATCCTAGGGATTTCAATCCAGTTGATGGAAAAGTGTGTGCTAGTTTCCCTGTCACCTTCACGTCATGTTTCTCTTTGCCTGTTGAAATTTAAATTAAGGCATACCACCATAGCAGATGTTAGAATGATATCAACATCGAGGGTTGATCCGAAAAGGCAACACACATTAGCTAAACCTATGCATGGGCGCCGCCAGAATTTTTTTCTCGTAGAGGGCGGGCAAACCGTCTAGTTAAAACAAAAACGTTTAACCGTGGGAAGAGGGTCGATTTTCTTTTTTTTCCTCAAGCTCACAATTATGTTATATATGATTTCTAATTTTCATTTCTTCGGCCGTTTTCTTTTTCGTTTTCAGTCTTTCAGGGTTCCTCATCGCAGCACTGAGGTAATTGGGATTATTTAAAGTAAAAATGAAAAGGCACCGTAATCGTTTCGACAAGCAATGAACCTGGGAGTCAGAGTTGTCTACCCCACTTCTGGATATGGGAGATCATACCCCAAAGAGATTGTTTTGTTTTGTGTTGGAAATCAAGCTTGGTTGAATCAAGCTTGTTTCCAGCAATCTCAAAACACAATTTCATCTCAGATTATACATCTGAGTACGATGACATGCTGAATAAGATTTATGAAACTGCTGAATAGCTTGAAGCGGGGAGATTTCAATTTAACCCCACGCACGATCGCATTGCTCGCCGCGGAGAGATACACATTCAGTGATTTAGTTTCTCGCGGTGGCAAGATAATAGCTCGAAAAAATATTTTTGCAAGTTGCCCATAATATGCTTTTGTAGATTTACCTCAATACGTAAATTACGTGAATTAAAAAAGTACAGTGTACACCATGAAAGTAAGCTGATAAGACTCACTTGTTAAGCTGCAATATGTATGCCCATCTGTTGTAAGACCATCCAAAGCTCGTCCAGCAAAAGAATTTGCCACCGTTGAGCTTTGATTACTGGATTCATCTACCAAAGTTAAAGCTACAATAACAAAAATAGAAAAAAAGGAGATTTTGTTCACAGTTGTCTTATTAAGCCCAATTTTGGTTTCCCTGTAGGACACAACATCTACCACCCGATCCGACTCTCCACCGGTACTTTTAAGTAGGGTTGCACACTAAATACGGCATACTATGAGTAGGTCGGTATCATAGGAGTGTAGCATGGGCCACCTTCGCCACACTTCTAAGCCTTACCAGTTTTAGCTTGTACACCGCAGCAGTGGCTCTCTGTTGTGTGGCAAGTGGGAATGCTTTTCATGCCATGCTTGTCAGTGTGGCAAACGTAGTCCTGCTACGATCTTATGATATCAACCTGCTTATAGCATGGCGTATTTGGTGTGCAACCCTACTTAAACGTAGCGGTGGGTATTCGGATCGGGTGCACCTACAGGGGACAAGGTGGGATATATGTGTACATGCAGCAAAGTTAGTTGAAACTTTTGGGAATCCGAAAATAATTTTAAAAATCAGAAAAAAATATCTCTGTTAATCAATTCTTACCTGCTGGCTGAAGATCACACTGCCACACCATTACCTCACAAAGGACAAGAGCTGTCTGTCTGGGAATGTCGATGCTGATGTAACGGGCGACTCTAAGTGGATCGCAGGTGAATTCAATCCAGTCATTAATCAAGGCTTGGTACTGGGTCACTGGAGATCCACACGTCGGGTTATTAGTAGGCGTGGTTCCCAGACCAGCACGTGCAACGGCACTCCTTAAATCTAGTCGCGTTGTGTCTAAAGTGTATAAGGTAAGAACAGGAGCGTGACTTTATGTCAAAATGGTGTAATTTCAGGGAATGAGATTTAACAAGAACTTGAATAACTTTTGAATCCGTTGTCCATAGTATAACTTCTGAACTCTTTTTCAGCGCACCAATCCTCTTGGTAACAAAGTGAAAACAAAATCCCATTAAATATCAAACGTTACTGAACAAGCGATGTTCTAGAGGTGTCTGGGGGTCTCTTGCTTTGGGGGAGGTCTATTAATTATATAAATAACTTATGCACATTACTGTATACAGCTCATAGCATCTCTGGTTTCATTTCCACTGAATATACAATCCATACAGCATCTTTGATGTGAAAAAAGCAATAAAGTCGCCCGACAACCGAAAGAAGATAAAAAACTTGGTATCATGAATAATTAATGAGTTACAATTAGGCAAAAGCTTAATTAATTTACACATATACTGGTGATAAGCATGTGTGCCTCTATTACACTGCCAAATTTCATTGAAATACATCATCGTATGAGATTTGGGGGGAGGGCAGATTCCCCCCCCCGACCGTAACAAGGAAAAAAAACGTTTCTTTGAAGGTTAAGACCTGAGAGCACAGTTTGAATACTTTTTTGTCATTACATCACAATCACAAGCAATTATGATTAGGTCTACTGGGCAACTTACGTCTGAGGTCATCTATATTCCTGATGGCGATTTTACTGATGCAGTGAAGAGCTTTCAGGTCCATCTTCCACCAAGGATTCCGCGTCGTTTCTGGGTGGGAAATCATGTTACACGATCTCGTTACTGAGCGCCAGAGGGGCGCTCCGTAATGAAAAGAAGTTCATACCGTGTGTGATATCGAGAAATTTCAATGAATGTGTGTGAATTTTTATTGCTGTGTGAAAAGAAAACCCATCAACCTTGGGGCGACTCTTTCGCAAAATTTGGAAAAAAAGGTGACCCATGACACTTTCATTGGCGGTACACCTAATGCGGAGTTGAATACCACTTACCACAATATTCTTTCAACACGCTTTACGGCTTTGATAAGGACGCTAATGTAACATTAAACAATTTGGCCATTAGTTACTCAACAAACTAAAACGCCCTTGCAAGGTAACGAATATGGTATTTTTTTGCCAGCACATTTTATTGATTTATTTTAATTGCACATTTCTTTGGAGTAAAAAGTTCAGCCTTACCTGTTCGGCTGCAGTATGGGCTTACATACTGTAGCGCTCCATCCACAGCTCGGTCTGCGTCCCAGGTACCGTTTTGGTCACTAAAGCTTGAAATCTGACTACTTGGGAGGCCAATCAAAGTTAAGGCTTCATGGAACATGCCGTAGAAAAGAGAGAAAAATAAAGTTGTTGGACTTAAAAGTCTCCTTGTTGAGCTCTTTTCGTAGCATACATATACCGTTGGGCTATATTTCCGAGGTTGACGACATACAGGAGCGTGTCTTAAATTATGGTGAACGTAGAACGGGTTATTCACGCCAACATCCTATTAACAGGGGTTAAGTTCGATCGTTGACAAACTGTTCGCAAATGGTCGATTTTGACCTGTAGCCTGTGCATGAAATAAATATGGGGCGCCAGGCAAAATCGACCAGTAGTTAACAAGTTGTCGCTGATCGACTTTGCCTAAGCATGCCAAGCGCCTGCAGGTAGATGTGACCCTCGTAACATTAACAGGTGGACTACAATGAAGGTGGTAAGTGGGGATAAAAGCAATTTCTGTGCTGTGGCCTGATTCTAAGCAATACAGTCGACTTTTTTGCCATTGTGAAAAGTAGTTTGAAACGACTGTGATTATTGTTATCAAGTTTACCTCCATGCACAGAAGAACGCACCCTCACGGGCAAAAAGCAACATTTTATGTCGGCGGTTGTAATGCTGATTTTTTGTTGACATTTTATTTCCATATTGCAATGCACATTTTATTGCAGGAAGGTCAATAATATGAACGAAGCTTGACTAGATTCGAGGAAACGAGTATGCCATACACAAATGACAGCTGGAGCAAATACGAAAGTAAAGAAACGGAGGTAAAATGCCTTAATAAGATGAAAATTTAACAGATGGGACTTGTATTAAACAGATCATACAGGAAAGACGAGTAGTGCAGACAAAAAAAAAACTAAAAACGAGCGATTGGACTGAGATGAACTTTAAACTAGAAGTGAAGAACTTAAAACTCTCTGAAGAAAAAAAAAATGAAAAAGGTAAATTTAAAGAGAAGGAGGTACCTAAGATAACTTTTTGTAGTTGTATGAATGCACGTTTTTATGAAATGATCAGTAAGATTTGAAGATTTACATGGTGGAAATTATATCTGTTATATAGGTTTGCAGGTACACCATGCAATCAACCACAAGTGCATTTGCGTTTCCAGGCCACTTCCCAGGACGCTTTGGTCTCCTATAACCGAAATGCCCTCTCCCTACGGCATTAGGGTCGCCTATACCCGAACCCCCCAACTCCCCCATCGCCACAGTATGTCGATCGTAACTGGGCCCCATTTCCCACCAACTCCAGAGTATCCTACAATCGCCCAACATCTGAATCTATTACTCCGCACCCATTAGGCTGGAGTTGGTACTCCACACCCACAATGACAAGCATCCACCCAGCAGTCGCCCAATGTACACCGCATTCCATGTAAATACGGCCAAGTACGCATCGGAGAAACAGGCAGCAACCTCCCCACCTGGCTCCAAGAACACCGTGCGCACGGCCGACGAGGAGAATACGCCAAGTCGGCCATCGTCAAAAATTCACACTCCTTGGACCACCACATCAAACGGGACAACGTAGAACTTATCACCCCCACCCATAACTGGCTTCCAATGAGAATCCAGGAAGCCATCCAAATTTTCCGGCACGACACCGTCACTAAGACATCAAATTCAAGCTCAGCGACGTCTGGCACCCACTACTACCACTCAAGACATTCCCCGAACCTGAGCAGTAGGGTCCCCAACACCCGAAACCCACACCAACCACCCCAGGTGTTTGGGTTTTCTCTACCTGAAGCCATACTCCACCCCCCCTCGGCATAAGGGTCCCTTATACCCGAACCCAAGGTTTCCTGCCAATTTCTGTATTCCAATACCAACACAGGATCCAACACTGTCACGCTCCAGTGCACGCACGGCAAGCCATACAACCAGCGAATCCGTTCCACGCTCCACCGCCTCGGGATTACCTTTATAACCCAGCTCTCTACTGGAACCCGACTTCTGAGGACAGCCAGAGCATCCTGGCCGAAACGTCAAGTTGGCACTCCTCTGTTCTTCTAAGAACCACACCTCTTCCAAAACAGATTGATCCTATGGTGTACCCGCAAGCCTTCATCTCATATAAATTATCAAAACTGAACAAAGTTTATTAACTTTGCGCTCGAATAAATCTATGTATTAAAACAAATCTTATTATCTTTCCCTGAGACTAACCCTCCACAACTCTCTTCAAGATTAAAAATTAAATTCAAAGAGAGCACATGGCACTAATAGACATGGCTTTCTTACGTTGTAACCAATCAAAATAGTAGACCCGACATCCAAAAGTGGAAACACAGTGGGGTATTCCATCAAGTAGATATTCATTCAGGCGTGCAATGAACAAGTTAGCCTCAAATATTTATCCTTAAGAATGATTAAATTTCCTCTTCATACTGAATAAGTATTATCTGTACCCACCTGATGGCATGGTGTCCTTCAACTGATTTGTCGTCGCTTCCTCCACCATAACCTCAGTCAACTGGACTATGGCCTGGTTACCACGTCGAACGATATTCACACTGACGTATTGTGCAGTGATGTACGGCTCAGGTGTGAAATCTACAACCGCTCGGTCAATAGCTTGATCCTCTGTAACTTGTCCTATCACCGGGTTTAACAGGTGGTTGGAGTTCAAACCAGCGCGTACAAAACCAGTTTTTAATCGATCAGCTGCAAAAATGTTAACAGTAATACACATCAATACGCATCGGTTGAGTTGTGCATACGACGAGTTCATACGTTTTACTCTCCCTCAACATAAAAATTGACATCACTCTGTTAATACAGCACGGTGTGCGCTGCATTCGGTCGTCAAAATCGCTCTGGAAGCGATTCTGACAGATATGCAACGTTTGGTGCAAGTGTTGACGAGCATGTGGAAAGGCACCTTTAATCATGGAGCCGGCATGACCGACAGTTAATTCACAAAGCAAATATTCTCGTGAAATAAATAGGGGTCTCGAGGAATATGCCTGATTTTGCCTAATAGTAGCCATAGCTGTTTTTCTGTTGATTTTTCATTTAAATTTGTCTAACTATACTTCTCCTTTCAAGTTTAAGTTATAAAAAGGGTCATGTATTTTCCATCACCGGGCTGCAAAATATAAGAAGGGGAAACTGTTATTGTCTGTTCTTTGTTGGTTGTTGAGCCGCGGCCAAAAAGTGATGGAGGAAAGATTTGAACGAGAAGGGTTAGCTGAGATGGATTTGGCGTGTGTGTAGCCTTATATGTTATGGGAGAAACCACCTTCGGAGTTTCCTGCAGTAAAACGTTCGTGTTGTACCGCTATTTTCTGGTGGTAGTCTCCAGAATGAAATTTTTGTCCGTAAAGGTAAGTACTGGGTATTCCAACAGCAGCCAATCGACGCAACACATTCGGATTCACCCGATCACAACAGGGAACACAGCGTGCGTATTCCTTGCCAGGGAAACGCTTCACTTTTCCTCTGTTACACCATCGTTCACATTGTTAACAGTTTTGCTCTCATCAAATAAGGTGGTATCGTCCAATCGTCGTTCTCGACGTGTGTACTAAGACATCCGCCAGGATGAAATGGACACTGTTGACAAAGAGGTTGCAACTTTGGAATCGAACGGCGGAGAACATGTTCGATCAGTAAGGCACTCCAACGCTCAAGCCGTCTCAATATGGGCGGTGCTAGACCATAGGGGGTCCTGC